GGAGGGAAGATGGGAGGAAGACAAGGAGGAGGAGAGGGGAGGTGGGGAGAGGGGAGGTGGGGAGACCTGAAAAATCAGGGGTTAGGATTTGCACCCGGTCGAAAGAAACCTTGCTATCGCAAGAGTAACTCCAGCTAGCTTCGCTAGCTTTCGTGATAAAGATCAAACACCTTGAAGAATGTTTTAAGGGGCGGCGATTTGAACACATCTATTGTTTCATGTTGTTTTTCCAAACTTGCACCGGTGTTTCCTTTCCACTGGTGAGCCCTACCCTCTTCCCCAAAGTGCCCAAATCTGACCCACCTCATCCCACCTCCCCATGTTTCAGCCACGTTTTCCAAACAAAGCAAAGTCTTTGGACCGACAGCTGGCCGATTCCACTTCGACACCTCCATCTCAAAGGACGCCGTGAGGAGCGAAAACTTCCCACGACCGCCACGCCACGCCGCGACCGACCGCCGCGACCGATGCTGCGAAAGGGGCACCGGCGCGGCCGCACGGGTGACGAAGCGCCGCGGGTGACGAAGCGGGCGGAGTGGAGCCGGTGCCAAAGGAGCACGGGTTCGTTGGGAAAAGAATAGACGTATACCGTAAATTGAATTGATTAGGCTTTCTAAGGGATTGGAACTCAGGAATTCATTGGATTCTATAGATGTCATAATTGGATGTCAAACCATGTCGGATTTGTATGATTTGTTGAGCGAATTTGACCCTTTCACTCAGACCTCGTGTCGCTTGTGGCAAGACCTCGTGAGATACTTTGATCGCATTTTTCCGTACAGGGAACGACCCGGAATTGAAACAGAGATGCCCGGACAATATTGTATAATTAACCACAGCACTGTGTTTTTATATAACCACCGGACTATACAACCCGGACAATGCGTAACTCATAACTAATCTATAATATAGCCATCGAATGTCGATTTGCGCTTAACGAAGGAAGGGAAGGTACCATGTGGTTTCACGCGGAAAGCTTCCCCATTCTGCAAGCTCACAGATCAGTGTTCTAGGTCACTACAGTCCCTGCCATCTTGGGCGTTTTGGGGGAGCTGTTAATGCCATTCTACATAACCAAACATCTAACGTAGTGTAAGCCAAGAGCCAACCTTCAATGAAGGAATGCTATGGGATGCTCATCTGACCGGTGGAATTGCTGCAGCTCACAGTGCTACTGAAAGCATGCACGAAGCAAAGTGAGCAGTATATAATCTATATGAAGTTCTATGACCTTGACTACCCACGAAGTGATATCTTTCACGAATTCGATCCTGGAGCATACGTAAGTGAACTCAAGGTAGCCATTGGCACTACGTGGGGTCTCGAAAGAGACCCCCAAGAGCTTGGGGGATCCGAAAAGAGGCACCACCTGAGACTCCGCAGGTCAATCACCGAGCGAAAGGGGATCCAGGTATAGACTTACGAGCAAGAACCGGTTCCACTGCCTGCCCTGCAAGGTAAACAAAACGTAAACGTTCCTGCAAACTGACGCGCCGGTCGAAATCAGTGACGCGTGCGCACATGTTGCAAGTGTGCAGCCACGTGTCGCCGTGGGCGGGAAGAAGGCCACATAAGAACATGCGAGGGATGCGATGGTGTGTTGATTTGAATTCATCGAATAAGTGAACATGTAGAACATGTAGGGCTTCAACATCATTCAACACATCCCAGTTGATTCTTCTCCTTCTGAGATTCTGGCCCAACTAGTGCAAAACATGGTTTTCTCACCAACGGAGCTCTTTCAACCTGTGATGAACATGCACTGAGACTCATTGATGTCCCTTCAACTGGGGGGTTGGCTTCTACAAGCTGAAAACCAACGACTCACAACCGGTAAGTGATCCTCCGATGCTACTGGGCACCTGAAACCGCAACTTGTGCCACTGTGGTGTATCACTTGCGTGCTTCATTTGTTTTTCATTTCTTTGGCGCACGTCTTCACGCCTCTCGGCACCTCTTCCCGGAACCAAACGGCACCAAGCGAGGCCGCGAAAAGGGCGCAACCCCCACACCATGCGGGGCGTGCACGAGAATTTTAAGAGCACGGCCTGATGCATTGCCCAGGCTTAAGCTTGCCAAAGCTTTCTTGGAAGCGAGGCAGAAGGAGCACGAAGCTCGGAACAAGCTGAGTCCACCAATCAATCCAAAATCGCTTCTATGGCTCCCAACTTAACTCTTGGCTTGGACACGGTTTAGCTTAGAAGAGTTGATAGCTGTGGGGTTGGTCTGACTTAATTACCTTGATCCCTCGACAACAGCTTCCTTCTCTGTGGACGTCTTCACTTAGAGCTCACGCGTGCGCACGGGCTCTAGGGGAGTAGCCAGCCATGGAAAACGTCCGCCAAGTAGCCTAGCACTTCACCGAGAGCCGGTGGGCTTGGGAGCTGCATGATGGGCGTCTTTGCTGAAGGATGGGCCGCTGAACTAATTACATCATGTAGTTCATGTTCATGTTCACGATTGATCATGTTGTGGAAACACACGTGAATTGCACCTATACTATACATGATCCTTTCCGAACATGATCCTCTGAGATGCTGAAAACACCCCCGTATCTTGCACCCGGAGACGTTCGTCAACTCGTAAGAACATCGCCCCTACATGAATCTCGGGACACCTGGCGCTTCTTGGATGAGAACCCCCCCGACTGCCATCGTTTTGGACCTCAACCCCAGACACCCCCTTTTCAACCTCTAAAGACGTCGCACCATGTATTCACCAGTCACCAACCCCTGCTTCATGGGTGGAACGGGCCACGGGCCCGCCTGGTCCGGTCCTGGGGCTGGAACTGCAACAAGGACTCCAAGAAGTCCACCATCGATGCCTCGGGAGAGGTGGAAGAACCTTCCAACGCGAGGCGAACGGTGTTTTTGGGGAGGAGAGTGAGCAAGGGCTTGAGCTAAGTTAAGGGTGGTAGAACAACTTTTTGTACACTTGGACGGACTCGAAATGTGGAGACAAGGACAGTCCACCACAAACCTTTTTGGAGTCAAGGGCACAGGTGAGGTCCATCCTTTTCTGCGTCAAGGCGGACCTCGACGCCGGTCACCAGCTGGTCGACCCAGCCCGCTCCAGATCCGACCGGAACCAATTGCCGCCGTGGGCGGGTCAGGTGGAAGTTGGTCATCCACAGGTCGGACATGGAAATACCAATCCTTTTGGTCGGACACTTCGAATGAGGGACACCTTTGGGCTTTCAGGCTGCAACAAGACATCATGTCATATCAATTCATACCATGTATATTTTTACACCTTCACAACGCAGATGAACACCCTTAGGCCCTTGAGCACCCACCAAATGATGGGGAATTCCAACATATGTTCTCTGCTGGATGGGTTCCCATTTCAGCAAGTCAAACGCAGCTACAAGTCAAACCACTGGCTTCCCTACTCCTTTGCCTTGTCACTGGCTGCCCAAGCTAAACTTCTGCCCAGGCACGCTGAAGACTTCAGCTAGGCGCGCACCATTGCAGTTTCCTCACTGCATCGTTTTTGGAAGCAGCATGTGTATTGAGGATGGGGCTCCCGCAACCTTCCTTCAACATGTCTTGGCACTTTGGATGGCATTTCCCAGTGGTCTTCCCTCGACATAACATATGCAGTGAGTGAGTTTCATATACTGTGTGGTTTGGTCGGGTTGGATTGGCTCTGGTCGGTGGATGTATCATCCATTTCATCTCAGGAGGTTGGGTGAACAAAAGCATCAGCAAAAGGACATGTTCAGCAACTCAACCAGCACCAGCTGGACTAATTATATGGGACACGATCCACCCAACCTCAGTTGGGTCTATCTTTGGGTTTAGTATGCTTTAGTCCATCAATCCCGGCCATGCTTGTACCCCATCCAATCTCCGTCATCTGCACTGTGCCCATGTGCCGAAAACCAACATGACTCAACATCTTTCACCTTTCGGTTGCTGACCGGCAAGGCTGGCGCTTCGTCAATCGTCCAGCAAGGTGACATGAACCTGTCCAGAGTCCAAACCAGTCAGTGCACACTTTGGTGCGTTTTCCCGCCACTCAACTTCCAGTCTGACGCCCGGGCCTTCCCAAGACTTCGGGCCTTTGGGGCCTTTTCGCGTTGCGGTGCTTCGGGACAACCCTCCCACCTGCGGGTCTGGTCTGTCTTCCAACCGAGTGGCGAGCCTTCCTCTTCTGCAAGTAGGCACGGAGGCCTTGCTTGCTGGCGAACTGGAAGCATTTGCACCCGCCCGGCCTTGGAGGCACAGCAGTTGAAAGGAAGGGAAAGGGTTCAAACCTCGAATTCCAGTTCTTTGGGCTTTGATGCACCAGGGTAAAGACATCTCTCATCTGCATGACCTGTCACCAGCTACAGCTTCAAACCCTGTGACCAAAGCAAAAAAGCCAGCCTCCAAGCCGGTTTCTTTGAATCAAGACATGTTTCAGACTATCATAGTTAGTCCCCAACCATTCACCCCCCAACCAGCCCACAACCTGTGACTCGGTTCTCCGAATCCTCCTGAGCTCCCCCGGCTTGGTGGAAAGCCATGGGTAGTCCTGTGCCACCATCCCAAAGATCACCACGCCCAATGCAAAGGCATCCGACACCATGGGATCCTGAGCGTCCGCCGCCAACGCGATCGAGACCACTGAACTTGCTGACGAGCCATTTGGCCTTGCAATGAGAACTCTCTTGACTTTGCCCATCAGAGGGCGTCAGGAACACCACAGGTCGAAGTCCAGATCAACCAAGATGCATAGGCTTCCACATGCATCTCCGGTGCTTGGTACGAGGGCTTCCCGCGAGCACCCACCTGAGTTTTTTGGACAACGACGCGGGGGGTCAGCGCAGCACAGTGAAGCTCTTCAGCGGATACACCTTCATTCAAACGGAGTCTTCTACGAAAAATCGCTGGGTTCTGCCCCTGATTGAGCAAGGAAGCGGTAGAGCAAGCTGAAGAGGTCTAGCCATCTAGCCATTGATGAAGAGGTCTAGCTGATTCCAGGGACCCAGTTGATTCACTTTTTGTGAATCAACTGGACTGTATCTTGGTGAGGTGGAGTGTCGCTCCATGGTGCTCGCCCTCATGACATCTACGCGCCAAAAGGGTCATCTACTTGGTCCGTGGCTCACGAGCAGCCAAAGCTCGAGCAAATAGGTGGAGCTAACTTCACCATGCGCCAAGCATGCTTTACTTCCAGTACTGTGACTGGCAACGGCTGCCTTCACAAGGGTTTATGAACGGGGTTGTCGAAGGGTGAGAATGATGTAATGTGGCCTTACACCTATTTGCATTTGTGTGGCCTAGACGGAGCATGGTTGAAACCCATGGGGCTCCATCTCTGCTCGTATCTGCTCGTGGCTATTCGGCTTTCACCGAGGCACCAAAGTTGATTGCTTCACCGCGGCCATACCGAAATCGATCAACTTGACTTGCAGCGAACCATCTCCCGTGGTCATCAAGAGGATGTTCCTCAGTTTAGAGTGTGCAAGTAAACTCGAGGGCCCTTGATTGCTTTACACATAGTGATCTTGTGTTCTTTGTTCAAAGGATTTGAAGGGAGCCTCTACACGACAAACACTTGTCAAAACCACTCGAGGGACGCTCCAAAAACATCCAGCTGTCCAGAAAGACACGGAACGTTCAGTGAGTCCACCCTGTGCACCCTGTCCACCCTGTTGTCGCATTTTGGAATAGATGTAAATCGAAGAGCTGTTGCCCACATGAACCTCAATCTTAAACTCCTTGCTTTGGGTTCGTTTTCTTGACGCTGCTAGAATATCTCGTTTGAGACAGGCGGGTGGGCTGTCTGCGTCGGTCTGCGATTCGCCACTTTGCGTGAAATTGTCCACTCACAGGCCCCTTCAAAATGACCAAACGGTCAGGAAGTCTTGGTGCCAAAGAATGAGCCTGACCTCCTCAGTCCCCTTTGGACACTCCACATGTCTGGGCGGCAGGAAAGCCTCTCAGGTGTGAACCCTTGGGCGCTCCACTCTAAAGCGATTGGCTAACAATCCAAGTGAATGTTGATCCAAGTGATGCGGCCAGGTAAGGGTGCTCTGTTGTGGAATTGTCAGTTCAGGGCACCCCGCTAAGCACCTCAGCCATCTATATATATATATATAGACCATATACTCTGCTTATGGGAGTAGGGTCCTATAATCTAGAGTCTAGAGACAAACTCCTTCGAGGCATGTCATCCGTTTTCACAGACCTCTCATGTTCTGCTTTCATTGAAGACACCTGCAGAAGTGTGGGGGGGATGAATTCTTCTGAAGTGAGAGGTGTAGTGTTTGACCTACACCGCACCCGTTCAGTTCGTAGCGAGCGGTGTAGGGCTCCAAACACATGGGACTGGAGGAATTACATACATCATTGGGGGCCCTTGGGGGTCATGTTCATGGGGAGTGCCATGGGAGTGGTTCTGGGCTGAATCAGGTGACTTACAGGTTGATCCATTGAACCAAGTACCTGCCAGTTCACTTGGGCATTGTAATTCCTGCTCATCCAGTGAGAAAATAGTGGAGTTGTCCAGCAAGTCACCATCTGCAAAAAGTCTCCGAACCATGTCCAAATCTGCGTCGTTGCCCTAGCCGTGTCCAAATTCAACTCAACAACATTGACATTTTCTCTTCCTTCTTTCGGGACCACCCGAGCCTCGTCGGCCAGAAAGGGGGGACCGTCATGCGTCACTTCCTGTCGCGCCACGTCCGTGTCTCCTCTGCTCGGCTCGGCTCGGCGGCTTCCCCCCCAACGCCACGCGGTTGTCACCGTGGGGCTCCAAAGAGAGGTCGCAGTGGGCGATGTCCAAGCTGTGCAAGCACCGTATCGCGTCGCACAACCTGCGCCCGTCGCCAGGTTCGGAGACCAACCGTCCCGCCCCGGGTGGGCAGGGTACGTTAAAGCCAGATTGGTTCATCAGTGGGCTGATGGGTCTGTTAGTTTAGGATAGGTACGCTGGATTTTACAAATTGATTAAAGTTGATGGGTTGAGCCATGGTTGAACTAGGCTCTCAGCTTCAACGCGGCCGGCCATGCTTCAGGTTGAGCCATGAATGGTTTATCTGGACCATCGCTTGATTTGGCATTACTACATGTGACTACCAGAACTCCAACAAGAAACCACCAACACATCAGGCGCATTGTTTTACTTCAAAAGGGTTTCCACTTCTTGTCAAAACCGCTGAAAAGTTTGACGTGTGATAGAACTATCAACCCTGGCTTGCGCACTTCCTCGAAGCAAACATGTTCTCTCAAAAAGGGGATTGGAAAAGTTATGTTCTTCTGATGGGTGTCCGCTCTGTGTTAGCTCAACAACAGCCACTCTTCCGGCTACATTGTGTGGTGCTTACAAACTAGGGATTAATAATTTGACCAGGGGTTCGTGGAGGGAAACACTAATCAACTGAGTCAAGAGTCTACATTAATTAGGATATCCCCCTTCAAATACCCATGGAGCCGATGGGCCTCCATTCTAGGATTGACTAGGATTGATTGACTAGGCACATGCCGATGCCTCGCTGTCTATAAGTATTGTGCCCGCAAAGCACCAAGCGCTAGACCCTTGGACTACCGAGCGCTCGCGCAAACCACAGCGGTCGAGCTCGCAGATCGTCCAAGCCGCTGTCGGACCAACGGTCTGAGGAAGTTCCTCGGATCGATCGAGGCGATGCGCCGCGGAGGCGTCGATGCGCTCGAGGAAAAAAACCCAAGAACTTACGTCGTCTTCACTGAGTGAACTCGTCTTCGCTGCTTCATCGAGTCAGTTCAGTTGAAAGCAAAAAGACTTTGGGGTGTCGTTGGCATGCCAAGGGCCAAATCAAACACAATACTTGCAGTCTTCAGATTCACACACGTTTACAAGCTCGGGGTGAAGCAACAAATTGTGCATAGAAACGAGATTGAAAGCAAAAGGGACTAACATTGCATTGATTGCGCAGGGCTGCAGCAACAGGCATTGGCGAACAACACCTGGACACCTATGGCGACCTATGGGACATGTCCTGCAATTGGAACTCCTTTCAAGTCAAAGTCACCACTCTGTGGATGACACAATGACTTCCACCACCTCTATGCAGCGAGGGCTTCTGATGACTTCCCCCTCCCTGAAGGCTCTGAAGGCCCTGTTGATCCTGGCGAGTTCGATCCACCTCAAGCCGGTAACCCTTCTCGCTCCAACCATGGAAAGAGCAGCCTTCCTTTCCTTCCTCCCACCAGCTGTCAAGGCGCTCACGCTCCAAGCCAGGCAATGGGCCGGTCTGGCTCCACTCAAACCTTGGGGACTTCGACGTGTGGAGCCCCAGCTGAGAGGTCACCACGTGTTCACCGTTGTGTTCTTGGGACTACACTCTCTGAAAGAATCGTTACGTGGAACAGTTTGGACCCTGAAAGGAAGACCAGTCTGGTCCTCGAGTCCTCTACAAGGGGGAAAATGCTCAGCTTCCATGATTGTTTGAGGTGGGCACTAACGTTTATCAACATCTTGACGCACGAAAAACATGGATCATTCAGGATTGGCAGCAGGGTTGAGGAGGACAAGGCACCCCTGAGCAAGACCTTGCTGCCTTTATCTGCTAGTTGGCCAGCATACGGGTGTTGACAAGAGGATGTTGTTGGCAGTGGCTCATATCTGGACCCACAATTTACAACGCCCCAAAGAAAGTTCTTGGAAAAATGCAAGTGCAAAAGAGTTTGCAAAATGAACATCGCAGGGAAAACGATACATTGTTTTTACAACCAACTGTCACAGAAACCTATATCGAAAGGATCATTGGTTGTGGCTTCTTACTGACTGAAACCCAATCAAACCCTGGTTCATCCTCTTGTCAAGATCCGCTACCAGATCATGGCAAAACTGATTTAGACACAAAAATATGTTTCTTATAGTGTTTCTTATATATAAAGTTTGATGCTCCTTGCTTTCACCATTCTCCATGCTTTCACCAGGCATCTCTCTCTCTCTCTCTCGTGCTGAGCAGCAAATCGCCTTTGTCGGCACACGTTGACACGAAGAAGGTCTCACCTCGCGTCAGCGTTGGAAGGATCCTCTACACGCTGTCCCCGGCGCTACACAAATCACACAGCTAGAGGAAGAAGTGGGACAGTTGATGAACAAAGTGTGCCAGAAATGATGGCAAATTGTGCCAAATAGGAATACCTTTCTAATCTCAAATGGTGTTCCAAATAGTTCTCCTTCCCACCCATATCACTTGGTGATCCTTTGATTTCGATATGTCCCTGCATGGGAGTCAGTTCTAGGAAGCTTTGTGAATGTAAAAACTATACGAGTTTCTGTTCATTTTCGGGGCTCAAGGTTTCAATGGTAGTCTTCAAGCGGAACATGACCACACGACTCGAAATGAAAGGACTTTGCAGCAGCTTTGGCAGCCCCAAAGCTGGGACTGCCAAGTCCTAAATCATCTCGCCCCGGAGCTTCTCAAGCAATTAATTGCCAACATACCACAAAATACCATTTACCAGTACTGAGGCATAGAAGTCAATGCTGCATCTCACTTCCCTTGTAGCAACAGGACGGGCCATTTTCGCCCCGGGCCACAGGTCATCTCCTGAGCCAAGTCACTCTCATCCCTGAAGGTGCCAATTGGGTCACCTGCGCGCCGCGCCGTCCCGCGGCACCGCGGCACGAACGGAGATCGGTGGACCGGAAAGACCTTCCCAAAAGCCCGGTGGACGAAGCCTTTTTGGGGGCGAACCTTCACCAACCACCATGGGAAACAGCACTTTTAGATTGTTTTAGACACGATGAAATATGAAACAAGTAGACTTGTTCCTCAGCTGATTCTACAGTATGGAGAGCACTTGGAATGTGCCACGAGGTCATTGCAGTGAGGGATTCGATTTCTTGTTGGTCAACCAGTCGCCTTTGCGAGGAAAGAAGAGTGGGCCTTGCACCCGCAAGCAGCCGTTTCGCATGAGCGACCCCGCAGGTCTCTGGCTTCCCACCTAAACCTAGCGACCCCAGGAGAGGCAAACGTTCCTTCGTGCACCCCGACTGACTGCGACAAAGCCATTCTGAGTGCCCAATGACTTGTGGCCCTACCCCCCCCCCCCCAACAGCATTCCGGAATGCTTCAGCCAAGAGGCATACGAACTGTACACGCTGCATACTGAGGTACTTGACCTCAAAGGCAGGCTACGGGTTCCCGGCACAGTGCACCGACAGATCTGAGCACATCACCAACCAAATCCGAAATGGTTCAACAATGCTCAACGAATTGATCGATGGACTTCCAAATCCAATTCCTCAAACTGAGCCTCCTGAGCCTAGAAAAATGCCAGAAAACACCCGACATGTCCGGTTCTTAGGAAGTTGCGCCCTTGCCATCCTCATGAGGCCTCCCTTGCATTGGCGATCCATTTGCTCCATCTGCCCAGCTGCAATGGCCACATCGACCCATGGCATCTCCAGTTCATGTTCGTGGCGCTTCACGAAGTCCTCTCAGCGCAGCGAGCTGCGCGCGGCTCGGACTTGGACGAGGCGAGAGATGGAGGAGATGGAGGCGGGCAGGGCCCAAAGAGATTGAGGCATGACACATTCACACACTGAAGATGGTTCAGTATAATATTGAGTAGATGTCCGAAGCCTGCACGTTCGCAGGCCCAGTGTGAAAGCCTCCAAGCAGGGGGGGCACACCTCCTTTTGGTGAGCGACTTTGCTTCCCTGCGGCAACCGGCCACTGTCTTTTTCGGACGAACCACCACGCGGTTCACGACGCCCTCATGGCACCGAAGAACGGCGGGGTCCTTGTGGTTGTAGCCCGTCCAGCTGATCGGCATCCGCTTCACCGCCACAAAGCGGCCACTGGATAACTCCTTCCTCGTGCGGCCGTGTGATGCAAATGGTGTATGCGGAGGGTGATTCAGGTGAGGCACTTAGGATCAGAAAGGCCTTGGCGTGGGATGTGCGAGTATTTTTTTTCTGAGGTGGCCCGGAATGCCAAGACATGTTACTTTAAGGATTCAAGATCTTTCTTGAAAAAAAACGCAAGTGATCTTCTCATCACAGCTGAATGCTAGAGCCCACTTAGCGAAATTCCGCCGGCCAAATGATTTTTCTGAAGAAACATGGCAAGCTCCAGAACCAAAAGACCCAAACCTCGCAACTACCCTCAGAGAATTGACAACACTTTGAACAACAAACCGACACCGACCTCATAGTCATTCCCCGCACCTGGCCGAACGAACTGGCCATCGTTCCCGCGATCTGCTTCCACCAAGCCGCATCAGCTCCACACGCCCTTGGTTCCGCGCCGCGTTCTGCAGGAGCCTCACCTTCTCGAAGCCTAGGCACCAGCGCCGAGTCCGTCCATGGAACTTCTGAAGGGCACGGAACTTCCTTGTTGAAGGGGGAAACCTCTTTGCACCCAGTGCTCAAAACCAGCTTTGGTTGCGGTGAAGGACTGCCAGGTGAAGCATTTCTTGCTTGTTCTCTAGAGTGTTGGCGTCTGTGGCCACATCATCCCGAAGCCTCAGTTTAAACCCAACCCCCCGGCCGTCAACCTTCGGTTCGAAGCGCAACTCTACCAACACGCCAACTTCAGCATTGGCATCCACTGCAGCTAGTTGAACCTCTCCACTTTCAACAGAACCCGCCACAAATCCCACGAAGCACATCGTGGCAAACATTGCTCAGCTTAGCGACGGTCCTCTCTCCATCGGCGGGTGTCTCCTACCTGCGCAGTCAGCATGGAGGCCAAACCCACTGATTAAAGTAATCAGATACACATCCTGCGCTTGTCCAGGAAGCCTTGAGCTGGGGCCATCAGGGACTGGACGATGGTCCCGAAGAACCAGTTGTGAAAGCCCCCAGCATAGCTCGAGAGCTGTGAGAGGGAATTGGGCAGTGAGATTTCTGTGGCAAGGATCAATCAGGAATCGCAGTCGGGGTGCTTGGATGGCCACGCCTTATACCACCACTTTTTGGGGCTATACATTCATAGGAATAGCGCACCACAGCAGCTCTCAAAGAGCCTGGTCTGCCAGCTGATTGGTGAAAGAAAGTCGAACAACCGGCATTCAGTTCGATTTTCTTTGCAAAAGTCCCAGCTGCACCGCAGCCCTGGGCATTAGACCATCCATCCTCTTACCAGCTGCACCGCGCCCGCCTTTGCCACACACATCATCACATCCTGGCAAACATCGCCTCGGAGAAAGGACGGAATTCACTGCATGGAAGGGGGTGACCTCAAACTCATCCAAACGGGCTGGGATCAGAGCAACGGTTGACATGTGGGAGAGAATGGGCACTTTCATCTGGGAGTCCTTGGAACACGCGAACAACGGGTCTCAGCAAGGCATGCTGTTTGCCGGAGGCTGCTTCAGAGACATGTGAATGGTCATGCTGAGAATCATCACCTCTTGCCCTGCCCTAGCCCAACTCACTCACATGCACTTGGAATTGCGGAATCATCGACTAGAAAACATCTCAGCACCTGCTTTCCAACCGGGTCATTTCCATGTTTTAGGTTGGTGTCTCTCCCCATCTACCTCCCTCTCTGTTGGGCTCTTCCACGGACATTTTGGCAGTCTCACCTCATGTCTCTACTGTCTGGTGTACCACAACACACACACACTGGAATGGGCTACCGTCACTTAACATCTGCTCACTTTTGCATCCCATTCTCAGCACCTGCCGACCCAAGCGGCCGTAGAGCTGCAATGCTTCATCCTCGCTCTCACTCGAGGGCTCTGCCTGGGGTGCTTCGAGTTGGGAAAAGCTTCCACATTGCTTTTTAAATCATTCTCAAATCCCCGATGATACGTTGATTCGGTATGTTGTTGAGACAGGTCATTTTTGTTTCTCTCTCTCTCTCTGCAGAGTCTTGCTCGTTCAGCCGTGCTACTGGGACACTCTGACGGAAGATTCTATGTGATACTGTTTGGTACGACAGGCTCGAGGGGCTGCGATACTTCCCGAGCAACTCACCGGCATTGCGGTGAGCATTGCGGTGTCGCTGGGAAGCTTCCCAAGTGGATGTGTGTCACGTGGGGAGTTCAACTCCCATACGACCCTCATGGATGGCTGCCACTAGAAAGGATAAATATTCACAACATCACATCCTGTTAGCTGTCAGGGTTTTGCTTCTTGATGCATCAGGGCAGGGGTGAAATTAAAGAAGGCACTGGAGTCTGGAGTTGACTGTTTTCAAGTTGTCAAGTTGAAGGAATGCTTCAATTTCATCAGCAGGACAGTCCAAACTTCCATGTGAATGCGTCCCCTTCCAATTGAACTCCCCCATTGAGCCAGTTGCCGATGGCAACCACCATCGAAAGACCGATGGCAAAAGGTGGCTGCTCTACACGAATCTCCCAGCGGAGTCTTTTTAAGCTCAGCCCAAGTTGCTGTGGATGAGTTCCCCGAATTGCCTCAGCACGAATCGCCCAGCTGACGACGTCGGAAAGAAGCGCGTAGCGCCTCTAAGCGCCTCTAAGCGCCTCCTTCGGAAACGAAGAAGACCAACTGTGATCCGCCCGGTCGGTTTTTTGGGATGTCTGGGGATGGACCCTCCGCTTTCCAGGGCCCCAGTGGTAGAGATGGGATTTTCCAACAGAACCGAAGGTTGGCTCCAGCAGATTTGAGCAGAAAACGAGCAAGAAGTGGCACTGCCAACTCGTTCACCATAATACACGGCCATGCGGGATCAGTCCTGGAAGTCATTGTTAAACATGGCTGATCTGGTTTGTATATAACAATGATTAATCAGTAATGTCATGGCTATTAAATACATGGTGATTCAACTTCTAGGGCAATCTTTGTCAGATTTTGTCAGGATGTCTCTGGACTAACATCACCCTTTTGCTACTGTCCAGTGAGTAATGATGCCTGCCCGGGAGTATGATGATGGATTTCTGAATCAACCTCACAACCGCCACATGTCACGAAGCCAATGAGATGCCTCACTAGATGCCTCATCGCAACGGATGTCAGATCAGAAAGAGGTGTCTCAAAGCTACAGGCCTCTTGTCTGCGGGCTGTGAATTACCAAGGCGCATCTAAGAACTCCAAACAATGGAGGAGGCTTGGACTCCTGCGCGCAAAAGAAAAAAAACATAGTGGGCCAGCCACCCCTACGAAGTATTGCCCCACCTGCACATAAATTAAGAAAAGTTAGATAGTGAGATCATCTCGACATATCTCGAATCCCACATGGCAAACATTCACTATCCATGGCTGATAGGCAACTCATGTGCAGCTAACTCCAAAAAACCCAACGAGTACGAATTGGGCCCGTCACGTCTCTGGTCCTTTTCACGGGCGCGCCGCCCGCGTATGTGCGCGGGAGACCCGGACGCGAACCGAACGGGGAGACAATGACCTCGCTACGAACGGAGCGTTCGGACGCTACGTACTAGGGGCTCCTGGCCTTACTACTAGGAACAAGAAGCTAGTAGAGACAATAAGTAACAAGATGGAACAAAGGAACATTGCAGGACATCGCAAAAGATCGCCAGGAGAGTCACTCGCAGAGTCTAGCACTTGATTTGCTCTCAGAACCCTTGGAAAGGCACATCTTCACAGAACCCTTTGGATTCTTATACCTACCCCTTTTGGGCTCCGCCCACTTTGCCCACTTTAGGGCACCATATGGCCCAAACATCGGCACGCGTGCCCAACAAAGTCCACTCCAGACATTGACAAAAGCCTACTGGGTCGTGGTTTGGTCATTCGTCCACTCCCATCGGAGTCGTGTCCACTCCGATTTAGCCCACTGGGGGCTTCGTTAACGAAGCCCCCTCCCACGGCGTCGTCCCACGGCGTCGCAGGGCGTCAACCCGCTCCGGTGAAGCCGGTGAGCCCCGAGAACTCTTGGTGCTGCTGCGGGTGGTGCTAGGCCTCAGGTGAGGCTCAAAAGGTGGAAGCGTGAAGTGGTGGAAGGACGAACAAAGATCAATGATCATCAATGATCTGTCTAAAGATATCTAAAGATCCATTTTTCACTTCCATCCTGGGGGGGGCTGTGGATGGAGATGGATGGAGGATAGGACCAAATCTTCACCAAACATGCGAAGTGAGCCATTTTACCGATGTTCTTCAACATTCAGAGTGAACAATCTTCATTGATTATACTTGAAATTTGAGATGCCATTTTTGGGGGTTCAATCTCGAGGGACATAGAAACCATCATGTTTGGCTGCAGCAAGCCCCCGTAATCCACCCCAGTTCTCATCGTGGCGCGTGAAGAAACAGCGCAAGTCTGCCAGCTTTTACATTGGCTAAACTGGTTTCAACATCTTTCAACACTCGTTTCAACGGAACATGTTCAACTTCAAGGAATCCGACCTCTGGCATCCAAAGACCTCTATGCGCGCCGAGAGTCCTAATATAGCTCGCTCGGCCTTCTTCTTCAGTTTCCTGCCGCGTGTGAGGAAAGAAGGATCAAACCGGAGAACAGTTCAGTTGTCTACCAAAAGGCACTAAAGCTCATTGATTGACGTCTTTGGCACTTCAGGCTACTACTTCCTGGATGGTTAACGGATATGTACGGATCAAGGCTACACAAAGGAGGAACGTGGTTCCAAGTTGCTGAGAGAAGCCTTTCCGATTGTGGTAGAGATGTGGCAACAAAGGAGGGATGCTTGGTGATAGAGCCAGATGAGATGGGCAGCATGTGCTGCACGTTTTCCATCGGATCTGTGTGGTCTGATATAATATAGATCAGTCTTGTCAAATTGATCGCTTGACTGCCATTGAGACCGCGAGGCGGTCATTCCAAAAACTCCTTCTTTCAGAGCTTTTGCAGCTGAATGACCTACACCTCTGGCCTGCCAAAGGGAGGGTGGCAAGCCTTTCGCCAACCCAATACTCGCTAGACCAGCAGAACCCGCTCAGGCCCTACTTCCTAGTCCAGCTTCCGCCGGAGTTGCCCGGCCGGAGCCATTGGCTCCGCCTCCAACGTCTCCCCTTCTCCAGTTCATTGGCTCCGCCTGGTTCTCCATACATTTGGAGCTTCGAGTCAACAAATTCCGGACAAAGTTCATGGCGAATGGAGGGCTGTGTCTTGGCGGTTCCCGCCACTGAGCCGATTGGGCGGCGGAGTGGTGGTGTGATGAGACGGCGAGGCACAAAAGTCACAAAAGGTAAAGCATCTTGGAAGAAGATTCGTTTGGGCAACTCTGTTGTCGAATCATGGACGTGCTCAGCCGCAAATCTTCGTTACTCCCATGTATACGAAGGACTTTTAGCTTCGACCTGTTTCTGCCTCTCAAAACAAGATCGCCTGTCTAAGACTTTTGTGCGTAGGGGGAGGTGCGTTGCCGCCACTGGCACATGCTGGAGTCTTCTGGTGCGATTGATCAGTCAATATACATCATCATATATACACATAATATACTTTATTTATCAATTGCTTCATTACTGTATGCGTTTTGGTTGGACTCCAGACCAGTTGATCGTGTCTGACAACAGTACTCAATATTGAAAATAGACTCGAAAAAAAAGGCAAGCATCGATGCCTTCATCAACCAAGACCAGCAAACCAGCCCCGGTTCACTAATGGAATTCCAACAATGGACGATCATGGGCAACTTTCCGAAGACCAAAGCAGTGGTTATAAGAGCCTCCACGGTTAAGCATGGTTAAGCGTTCTTTGGTCAATAACTCCCACTTTGGTGAGATTCTTACAATCATGGTTGCAAGGTGTTCTGGTCAATAACTCTCACATATGTAGGAAAAAGCAGGGCTACGACCCAAAGTCACAACCTGAATCTATTGGCTAGCCAGCTTCGCACTTTTTGGGGCATCCGCGCGTTTGGAGGAACCCGTGTCGAAAACGTGAGACGAGATCAAACGGGGTGGCTTTGCCACCAACGGACGGTGGATGAAGACCCTCTCCTTCAGCACCGGAAGGACTCCGTGGGCCCTCAGGAACCAATTTGGATTTCATGAAACGATGGTCAAGAGCAAGGCCTCTAGCCCCCCCAAGCGGTGGCAAACTATATTTAGTCAAACACATGTTACGTGGTTGGCCCACAGGTTAATGGAAACCTACGCCTTTGGCTATGACTCAACCTGATGCCTCGTCAGGTTGCCAAGGCGCTGACAAGCTATAACTCAAGCGTGAACCCCCGTGGATTGATCATCGTTTTATGGAACGTCCAAAAGCGACTGAAGACCGCAAGGTTTCAATCCAGAAGTTCCTATATGGATTGAACTGTTTAAGGACTGAACTTTCTATTATGTTTTACAGAACTTGCGAAAAGCTCAATCCTTTTCAAAGGACTTCCTCAAGGGTGTCCTCAAGTGCTGCAGGAGAAGCTCTCCATCAACCCTCGGTGCAGATCCATTCTTTTTGCCTGGAGATCCACCATGGATATTGTAGACACAAGCCCTGTATCTTCAGGCTTAGCTTATTTTTGCATTTTTGCATTGAACCCAGAAACCCAACAAATGATTGCCACACGCCAGCCTCGTGACGTGGCTGAAGAGAGCTGCAACATCCTATGGATCCTTTCAGGCAAGTCTTTTCTCTCGGTTCACCCTGGAAGCATTGGAAGGCATCATGAATCATGCCCCTAGGAGGCCAATGGCCCAGTATCTCTTCCACACCAAAAAAGCACACAGCCTGGCGAGCTCATGGTATGCACACCTGTCCCAAGTCTGTTATCTGAGAAGTGAGAACACCTGAAACCGCAAGACTGGAACACCTGGTCGCGGAACGCATAAGACAAGTTGTCTAAGCTTCTCCGAGCCGCTTCCAGTGTCGCGTGGACCGGCACTGGACCGCGTGCATCACTGGCAGCACTGGTGGCCCATTCCAGTCAGATTGGCTCGGCAGGAAAGGTATGGATGAGTAAACACACCAAAAGGTTACGAGGCATTGAGTGCAGAAGTTCCAAGGCCAGCTCAAACCACTTCGTGGATTTGGATTCACTTACTTGGGGTATTCACTTAGATCGGGATGCCAAGGTGTCCCTTACTTCCATGAATCCCATGAACACTGTGTTGGGTCTTCGGTCCAAAGCAGTAGAAGCAGTAGAGGTCACGTTCGGGGATGGCAAATAGCACTTGATAGCACTTGTCTTCTTCGGGCTACTTCCACCAGTGCCAAGCTCTTGGCAGGTTGCAACCAAACATCATCAAAGTAGATCAGAAATCATCCATGATCATCATCGTCGTCATCTTCTAAAAATCATCCAACATCCTGTCACCAACCTCTGAAGCCTCTTCTGTTTTCAACATCTACTGCATTAAACAGCCGAACCAAACGACTGGCTTCGCTGGGGGGTTGGCAAATCATCGCTGTGTCAGAGGAAGATGCACAGTGCAAGGACGTTGTCCCGCGATCCCAGCCTGGATGTGTAACGTGGAAGGCACATGTGGACCGTGTGGATTGCAACAGCTGGTCGAACAATCCTCTGCAAGTGGCAATGTACTACAATGTATATATAAGTATACAGTAAATATCCCTCAACATCCTGACATAAAAGCCGACCAACCAACCTGGTTGAACAAGGAACAGGAGAAATCAGAACTCTGCTTGAAGGGGCAGTTTCTCTTGACAAACCTTCTGCTTTCTCTTCACCAAGTGACCGGATGGCTTCATCCACCAACTGCTGAGCACAGACTCGCTCCAGTCGTTCCAGCACCTCCTTGGGATTTGCAGACCCGCCGCCTGCACCGGAACGACGCTGGGACCCACCGGAGAGGCACTGAGAAAAGCTGTTGGGGTACCACCATAACTACCCCAGGGCTTCAACAAAAACCATCCCAAAACAACACCCCCACGGCTCATTCGGCTCATTTTGGTCGTACCCCACCGTGAATTCTGTTTGAGAAACCCCCACAATACCCCCGGATGTGGTGCTTTTTTCCATCTCTTCGGACGACGGTGGAAACGCATCGATTGGGTGGTCAAACAGGTCATATCAGGTCATCTTGGATAGTTATGCTGAAGTTCATCCAAGCAGGCGTTCAATGTACTATCCAAGATGACCAGGCGTTCAACTGCTGATAGTTATGCTGATAGTTATGCAGTTGTTCAATTTCAGCAGGCGTTCAGGTCAACTTTATGTTGACATCGAACATCACCAACAAGCGGGCGCGAGGCCATCACAGCATTCTTCCACTGTGCCAGCCGTTCTGACCGGGAGAGCAGAACACATGCGCGTTCCGGCCGGGAGAGAGTTCGGAACGTAATGGAAGGTCCATCTCCCTCTCCCCGCAGGGACTAACAGGAGCGAAAACAATTGACAGATCTCCTTCCATCTTGGTTCATGTTTGACGCCGTAACGATACGCAAGAACTCTTGCCTTAAAGCTTATACCCCTTCACCACTGCAGGGGCGGCCACGGCTTCGTGTGACGTGCACTGAAATCCACATCTTTTCCCACTAAACCTTGGAAACTGCAACATGACCAAACCCTAGACCCTAGACATCTCTAGACCTATATAGACCAATCCAAAGAAACACACCTATAACTCCAACAACAAAAGGACCAGCTCCAAGCAACCCGGAGTCGACCGCCACGAAACCGAGGATTCGACCGCGAGGTTTCGCCTGTGGCTTCCTTGATGGACTTCTCCAGCAAGGCACAAGCCAACTCTTCAGTGACCACGTCCCATAGACCATCCGTGGCCAAAATCAAGACCTGCACCGAAACATCGTCTCAACCCGTCGTTCTGCGTCGTTCTCATGTTTTGCCAGTCGGACTGGTGCAAAACATGCACCGCTGCGTCACACAGCGTCACAGCGTCCAAGAAGCCACGCCCACGCCCCGCTCAGTCATTGCAGCCAGGGGCTGTGAAGTGCTTCTGTTCGGCCCCCCCAAGAACGACCGATCCCCCTGCGCTGGCCTGGCCGTCGGCGATCTTCATACCTGGCCATGTGACGAGGACGGTGGGTGCGAAGAGGGGAGATCCTGATCGATCTTCAACAGGTCCAAAATGGTCCAATCCTCTTGGGTAGCGGGTAAGTGAGAGATCTGCTGGATTCAATGTTCAATCCATATAGCGGTGAGGGATCAAATCTCCATACCGGACAGATCAGTCGCTTGGACTGCCATGTCACAGCTACATTGCCAACTAATTCCCAACCCTAAGTCCCAACAACTCACAGATACCCAAATTACTCATTGATGGAGGCTGCACTTGCCAAGTTCTTGCAAGAAGCTCCGTGCCTGACCTCAAACCACTTAATTAGACACTTGGTGAGGTTGGTGAGGTGATCTACCTCAAGTGACCGAAGATCCACCCCCGATGGAGTCCAAGTCACTGGTCACCTCTGGCATTGGGCTCACACCTTTCCCCTTCCTTGGTCGAAGCGTGCGAGACGTCTCGCAGACCGCCATTGGGGCGCTGGAAGATCTTTTTCAATGGTGACGAGTGACTATATGTGGTCGGGGCCCCTTTTCCACCAGTGAAGCCACCATCAGATTGCAGCCACAATGTGGGCAATCTGGATGAAAAATAGCTTTTTGAGAGAACGTATTGAAATGTTTCCATGGTTTAAAGCTGGAACAAACCTATGGCCTACGTATGCGCCGAGCCTGGGCAGAGTTGTAGGACAGCTAAAAACCAAAGCTGAATCCCCAGCCTGTCAAAAGAACGACAACTGTTGGAAGTGGTTGGTTCATGGTAGCTCAGCTGATTACACGGGGGTCAGCCAACTGGACCGCTACAGTTTCCTCTATCACAAACTCACCACTCACCATATCCACCACATCCACAACACACACACACACACCGATCTCTCCCCACAGCCTTCCCACTATCGCATCATTCCATCATTCCTCCCCCCAAATCCGCCTCCGCCTGCATATTCCCGACATCATCATACCCTCCACAGCCCCTCCGCATACCCTCGCTCCGAGGGGCAAGCGATGATCGCCCAGCGACCGGCTGATGGCCAAGTCGCCGCCCACGCGGCCCTCGGTCACGCGGCCGCCCTCGGCGCGCACGCGCTCCGCCTCCAATGGGTCGCTTGGGCGGTGGTCGCGCGTCAGGGAGCGGCAGCTGTCCACCTGCGGTTTGACCGAGGAGGTGGGAGCTGGGAGGAAGAGAGACTGGGAAAACGAAGTGAATGGAGCAATTGCAAGAAACGAAAGAAAACATTGACATACTGAGATGGTTGAAGTGAGAGATTGCCATCTCACCAGTGGTTGGAAAGGAAATCCTGACCTTGAATGGTGGATTCTCTACTGGGTATACCGAAAGTGGTGCTTGGACACCTTCAAGCCTTCAGTACATAAGCCATAAGCAAGTATAGAAAAGGAAAGCCTCCACCAGAACATCGTGCAACCATCTCTGTGGACGACTGGAAAAAAACGCAAAACGATGCAAAGGTCACAAGACAATGTGTCGGAACAAAGCGGTGCTGCTATTCACCTATTATCTGGAGCCCCATTTTCAGCCCTTCAGCGTCCTTTGAAGCCGAGCCCTGCAGCCTATAAGCCCATGTCACACAGTCCCAACCCCCTCAGCTCCAGCTGCGCCCTGCTTTGGCCCAGCCTTTGGGATGAGCACAGCTCGCGAATCGCCCACATGCGCCACATACAGCTCACCCTCGCGCGTGCCCTCGCGGCGGCAAAGCAGCGCCACGGTGGCGGTGGTGCCGTGGTTCCAGGCGCCGTACATGCCCAGCTGGCTGTCGATCTTCCTGATTTCACGCGGAAGGAGCTCGTCTGGGGTGGTGCTTATGCTTAGTAGGGTGGCTGAGGGTGGCTGGATCCAAAGGCATCTCTGTGAGCGAAGCTTTCCGTATTCCCTACGAGTCGCACGAGTCGTATTCCTACGCGGGAAGGGACTCATTGGGTGGTGCTACCAGGTGTAAATATGGGTGAGGTCGACTAACAGAGTTACTTTCCACTTAGTGAGGAGCTAGAATCTCCCACAATCGAACTGCGAGCCCAAATTCAGAGCCAAACTATCGAATTGGAGCAATATTGGAAGAACAACGCCTCCACCACTGCTCACACTTCGGGATTCACAAACAAACGATGCGAGGGGGCGGCCCGTCATGATCTGTCTTGAAACCAACATGCCAGGTGGTTCCATCCACAAAGCTCGCGCGCAGTAGCTCTTCCGAGCCCACCTCCGAGCCCCAAACACGCCCACGCCGTCGCCTCAGGCTGCCGACCCCTTGAACTGACCGACCGAGGCACTGAAAGGTCGCCTTCAAGGCCTCATGAGGCCCCAGCGTTTTCATCTCCTGCGCCACCTGTGCGCGAGGCGGGCACCTAGGAACTCTGATATCTTCCTCCGAACCAATCTGATCTCCCAGTCTGATCTTTACCATCCAATGGCTTGATTATCCATTATCTCGATCTATAGATTTACATTTGCCAAACTGATGTTCCAAGAGTTCCTCCAAGCAACCCTGATTTCCACACATGAATTGACTCTCCTCACCCCAAAAAAGACCTTTTTTGAGCAAAAAAAAGGACTTTTTTTAAGCAACACACCATCGGAGCCGCATCTCCCGGTGCCCCCGGGCCCAAGCGTCGCCTGCTCATGGAGCCGCAGTTCGCCTGAGCGACGGCAGCCGAGGCCGTGCTCAGGCGGCCGTGAGGCGACGCAGCCGTGCCCGTCTATCGTTCCGGTATGAAACTGGATGAAACGTATGACTGGTGAGGTTTGGTGGGGAGTCCATCTCAATGTCACGAAAGCGCAAAAAAGACTTCAAAGGTGCAAGGGACTGGGACTGGAGCCCGGGCACGTCAACACCAATCGCTCTATTTAAACAACCCTCGCCCGTGGGGAAACAATCTCCCTCGCACACATGACTCAACCACAAGACCCAAGGTTTTCCAACTCCTTAACCTAGGACAAGTACTAGGACAACGTCTTTGGAAGTCCTTCTCACCTTTGAGCCTTTTTGAGGTCCTCCTTCCACGATCTTCCACCTTCATCACATCTCCACCATCGGCTTCGGAGTCGATTCTGCGAGGTGCAGTACTCCACGGCCTCCCGGCCGCCGTGGCCATCATAGACCGCGAAGAAGCCCCAGGTGCCGCCACTGGCGCCCGGACTGGCGCCCGCTAAAGCGTCGAAGGGGTCCAGGATTTTGGAACCATCCTGGAGCGCCCGGCCCCACTGGGAGAGTTAGGTGGAGAGGAGTCTTGCTGGAGCCGGACGTCTTCTAGAGAGTGATCAGGGGTCTGTTATGTTTGTTTTTACTATGGAAGATACACTCCACTTTAGGGCCTGTGAGGAGTCAAACAAGCCATGAATCCAGGCATAACCAAGGGACATTAACAGTAAGCTTGTGTAAAAGGGTGCCGGACTTGACGCACCACCAGCCTCCACCGGCTGTCCTCCATGTACTTCCGGCAGGCCGTGTTGGCATCCACTGCCAAGCTCACGCCCGCCGCCGTGGACGACTTGGCTCCGGTGGGACGCCACGGGCGCTCCACCGGGAGGGCCGGCTGATCCTTGGGGGCCGGGAGAGCCCAGGATGGGCGCCCGTGGATCCTGAAGGTTCGGAGATCTTCACTTGCAAAGCAAAAGCCAAACTCATCAGGGGGACTAACCAACACTTGATGCAAAGTTCCGTTTCTATGGTCTAGCCGCCTAGCCCTTTCGAACTGCTATAGGGTTTTCATACTGGTTTTCATCTACCTTCCCTCGCCTTCCCATAGCTCTTTCTTCTTGCGATTGCCACAAGTGAACACCCCCGCTTCCCCAGCTTCCCCAAGACTCGTTCTGAATGCGCTCGCTGGGTCTTCGATCCGAGGAGAACTTCCGCTGAATGGTGCCCGCACTGGGCTGCTGCGCGGTGCCGGAAGAGGCCGCGCGCGTGGAATCTCCTGCGGTGGTGTGAGCGACGCGTGCTCGTCTGAGGGTCTCAGTTCTGCAGTGCAGTGCGTGATGAAACCGAGAAAAGGGAAGAACTGTTGATTCATAACCCCCCTACCAGAATGGTTTTAAAACACCAGGTTTTCTTCAATCAACATCGGTGAACTCCATCATGAAGAACCCACTTACTTGGCACCAGGCTTTTGCATCAGTGTACCTTAGAAGAACCGTTTTTGGGGCACAAAGGCCGATCCTGAACACGACGAGGTTTCCCAATCCTCCACATCTTCGGCGTTCCGTTTGTGTGGCTCAAGTCCTAAGATTCCATCCTGCAAGTGGAGAAAACGCTTAAAGGTCCACCAGCCCCAAGAAAACCCCTCCCCCCAACGTCTCCACCCAGCGACGAACCCCTGCAAAAGCGCCTGCGGGCTGGTGCTCTTTGGGCTCCAAGCCCTGCAAAAGGCCATTCCAGTCCTCTGGCCAAGGAGTTTGAACCTCGTCCTGGTTCTTGTGTAGAAAGAGGTTGAAGCCCCTGGTGGCAACCAAGACTTGTTGCACTCAAGTGTCCATGAGCACGCTCTCATCCAAAGGTCAATGCCAAAAAGCTCTTTAGAACCAAACCTCTGTCACTCATGACTCAACGGCAATCAGAATGAATCTTCATTCTTCAAAGTTGGCACCAAAAAACACATGTCCATTGCTTGGTGTGGATATTTGGTTCCCTTGTTTCCATCATGACCACCTCTGAACCCTCTCACCAGCTTCTCCTGGCAGCCCCGGTCCTCCTTGGCTTCGTCCACCTTCTCGGGCTTCTCGTTCACCTTCGCCTCCCGGCGGTGGATTTCACCGTGTCTGGTGTTGGCCGGGTCGACTGTGGAGTCGACTTGGCATGTGTTGGGGATGGGTGTTGCAGGCGAAAGGACCTCTCTTGTGTGACAGCACGATGAAGTTCGGACGTCACATAGACTTTACATGTCCAAGCCGCTGGCCAACCGTAAGAAAAGCCTCACACAAGGGCTCGTGAGCCAGTCCAGCTTCTAAACATTTGGTCAAGGGTGTTGGGGCCTCTAACCTCAGGCGGAGACTGAAACTTAGGCTGTACCAAGGCTTCATATGCTTAAGTGGCCTTGATCAGTCATGGCTTGAGCAACTTCTTCCGAAGAAACACACCGAAGGAGTCAGCTGCCAGTCAGCGGCATACCGGCCTTGTCCTTCTCCGACTCCTTGGCTTCCAACTCCTGCTCCAGCTCATCCAGCAAACCACTCAAAGAGAAGTTGTCCGAGTCCGGCATGTCGACGGAGCGTCCGCTCGGCTCCCGGCGGAGCGGCGGAGGTGGTCTGGTGGTTTTGTCGTGGGAGGAAAGGCCAATTTAACATGAGTCTTCGTGGGGCTGTTGCCGATGAAGGTGTCTTTTTGAAGATGTGCTTCAAAAGTGAAGGCACTGACGTGCAATCCAAGAATTGGGCTGGATAAAAACCCAAGGCGGTTGAGAACAAACCACGCTAGAGTTCAACTTCGGGTGAGATAGTCAGGTCTTCTGAGGTTCCGTTGCTGCTGTTGGTCTTCGCGTGTCCTTTGCCAAAGATCTTTGACGTCTTCCAAACTCTCACAAGAAAACATGTTTGCTCAGGGATGGTCCGCTGCCATATTTTAGCCGTTCTTGTAATAAAAGACAAGCGCGACCCACTTCAACGATGTTTCACATGGCTTCTACAAAGGGACTTCTACAGGTATCGCATCCGCATGTGCCCACTGCCATGTAAACAAGCACACTTGGGCCGCTGTCGAGCCAAAAGCGAAGCAATGACATGATCGCAAAGCCACCCAGAATTTTTTTTCCATCGCCTTCTCAAGGAGTTTAGCAGGGCTAAAGGCGAGCCACCCAGAATTACAGTATCTATTTTGGCGGTTCTTGTGGTGGAAAGTCTCTACACCCCTGCAAATGGACCACATGGGCCCCCCAAACCACTGATTTGTAGAGGAAAAACCATCTGCCCAGCCAGGACGTCAGGGTCCATGTCGAAAATAGTAATTCTGAACGAAAGGAATGGTGACCCAAAGGTGGGTGGGTTGGGTGCATCCTTCCCAACAGGAATGCACTGACTCTGCCTAAAACAGGATCTCTTTACACTTGCCATCACGTCCCCATACTCAGGGAAAAAAGAACTTACCACAAGAGCACAAAGCCTCGACGCCCACGTCGCGGTTGGTCTAAAAAACACACATGACCAATTGGACCAATCGGTGGCTTTGGATTAGCCCACCCATGCACATGTCATGGCTGCGTGAAAGTAGAGACCTCTCATAGGAATTCAAGGCCAGATTCTTAGGAGCTGCTGGGAATCGACCCAGCCTCAAATGCCAAAGGCGGTGCATGATGATGCGTTATGCCCGTGCTCGAATGATAAACAAACTATGGATCCAAATCAAAATGGCAAATTCACGCCCAAAAGCAGTTTAAAATAGCTTTGGTATGCTTATAGTTGAGTTTATAAGTGAGCCCTCTGTGTTGACATGTTTTTTTGTCCTCTGTTGAGGAACTGCAATTGTGCCACACCTGCACACTTCCCAAACACTGCCATTCACAGCACACTTCCCAGATACTGATTGTATATGAAACATGCAGCAGTCGTTGGGGGCGCGGTTTTGATACCCCAAACATGCTCCACAGTGCCCACACCTTTTCATCTTTGGACCGCCATTTTGGCAAATCCATCAGACCACGGCGGGAGGCTGGCCCCTGCAGGGCTACCTGCAACGACGCTGTGGGTGCGCCGGTGGGCAGTTGGAGGTTTGCTTAAAAGCAAAAGAGATCATTATGCCGTAGCACAAGGATGTTCTAGGTGGCCCGAGGTCGGAGCCAGAAGCCACACACGCTGCACAGCCGTCTCGACCGATCCAGCCCAAGCATGCGGTAGTCCTTCCAGGTTCCCACTGAAAAATCCCACTGGTCAGAAGGGAAACAGACCCCCGGAGGCCTTTTCTCAGGACTGTGGGACCGATTGGAGTCTTCCTCCGACCTTTTTGTGTGTCAGGCCCGTCATCCATCGGAAGCACCTTTTTCTCACACCACCTGCTCCTGGTCCCCCAGAGTACCGCGGGGGCAGCCGAGGGAGTGCTGCTGGGTCGCGCGCGTTGATGTGCTGCGAGAACAGGACACGGACACCGACGGCGAGCTCCAACCGATCGACGAACGGGGGTGTTCGTCTGGGGATTCCCAATGATTGCATGAAACAACATGGAAAAAACCGTCTAATCAGTCTGGAATGCAATCACTTCAATCAGATCAACGTCCAATGAACGATCCACCCATGATTGAACAATAGGGCCCCAGGTCAGTGTTCCCACAAACGAACTCGCACATGGTCACATGGCTGAACTCGCCCAAAAAACAAAAAAAAGAGCGCGCACAGCACTCGTGTGAGGCTTTTCTTGCATCTGTCCCCCACCCAGAGGTGACATTCCAAGACCCTCTGTGTATGGCAAACTGTTTAATCTTCTTCATCCACTGGTGGAGGGGGTAGATGCAGGGCGTGACTAAAACCAGAGTGGACCCCCAAGCACAAGTCCTCACAAATGGTGGGAAGTGGCCCAACAATGGCCAACTTCCATGTGATCTATGTCGATTGTTGATTGGTCAGGAGTCTACTCCAAAACTTTGGGTCAAACCCACGCAAACCCTGCAGCGTTCAAAGAACATCTCTGCGAGCATGGGCTTCCTAGCTGGCCACTTTCTACACTGTACACTGTACACTCTGTGCAAGTCGAAGGTTGCAAGACCACACTGTGCAGATTTCAAGAGCCAACGACACCTGGAAGGAGATCCGGGAGCCCTGCTGACGGTCCATGATTCAGTATCTTTCACTACGGCAGCAGGGCCATGAGCCACCACGCGGCGCTAATGAAAGGTCTTGGCCCGCATGAGCACAGTATTCCTCAGCCATCAGGAGCTGTTCATTGAACAGTACTGGATCTGTATCTAAAGCGGATGGGGACACTTGATCCAAATACGTGAACACGGGAGTGCCCGAACCCTAGGAGTCCCAAGAAACGATCCAGCAGAAAGAAATCATAGATTCGTCATACACGCCCCAAAAAGCAACCTCCCACGTTCAGCGTTGATCTGCTTCTCCCAGCATCTCTTGATCTTCAGGCAGGCATGATGACAGTGTCCGCAGTAGCTCTTGGAACTCGGTCTCGAAGTGCATGTGCATCGAAAGCCTCGAGTGGCCGGTGGCCCACTTGGCCAGTGGCCGGTGCGGCCACTCGCCCTGTATACCCAGCCGCTTTCTGCCGCAGGGCTCTAAGAAGGTCCGAATCTTTATGTCGCTTATGGGTTCGGTGATGGGCAACCCATCAACAAGGTCGACGTCGGTAAACTCTCAGTTCAAAAGACTCGACTGCACACGGTGTTCAAAAACAGCATGAGTGCGTCACGGCGTCTTTCAAATCGTATCACCGAGTCGCAAGGAGTTGCGGATGGACCCACGCACGAAGCGGTTAATCTCCTCAAAGCCTTGAGCCGGGTAACCCAAATCATCCGGAGGCCCTCCATCTCAATCATCTCTAGATTACATCGCCTGAGACCCATCTCATCGCTTGAGATCCACCATAGTAATCACAAACTGGGGTGACGATGGATTTGCCCAACCATTTCAACAGTTTCCTGCCGAGTCGACACCGGCATTGCAGTAGTCTGCAAAGGAGCAGGAGTAAACAAGAAAGAAAGACTTGGAATGAAAGCGATTCTTTTTTGGGGGGCAACGGCAACTCTTTCCACAAGAGACGATATCCTGCTTGGAATTCCTGAAAACAGGATCCAAATATGACCTCGAGTGGAAAGATCTATCACACAAATGGTCACAAATGCCATGAAATACCGTCAAATCAACGTGTCATTCTACCCAATGCCTTAAACAGAATCACCACTCTCATCACCCTTCCCGATGTCGGACGCACCGCCCATGAAACCTCCACAGCACCGGAGCTCCGGAGCACCGGCCTCCCACAGTTCGCAGGACCTCCGACTCGATCAGCTCCTTGTCCTGACGCCGAGAACCGTTCACGTCGCGAAACGAGCGGAGCTTGCGGAGGCGAAACCCGTTTGCAGCGCCCAAAGCGAAGGATCGGACGCACAAGTCAGAGCAGCTAGCATGATCTTTGAGGGCCATAGGGCCTATAGCATAGCATACAGCAGCATACACTTAGTGAATATATAATTTGATGTGAGTTGCGGGATGTGCTGATGCTCTCTCCGAACCAAATGGTGCTGGAGTTTTTCCTTCCAAGGGCAGGGCTTCGCAGGAGGCTTGCCAACAAGAACAGCTGCTTGGTGTTTTCAACCCACTTGAGCAATATTAGTCAGAGGGTCCAATCATCCCCAAGTAAGGGTTGAAAATACACATATCCGAAACCATCACCTAGATAGTCTCTTTACCGTATACTTCGGCGGTAGGTCGGATCTGTCCTAAGGATCGGTTACAACACCGAGGCTGAGCTGGGAAGACTCCTGGGAAGCTGGACTTTCCAGGACCTTGTTTATTGGTTTTCTCGGAGGGCCTGGCGAGCTCAAAGCTGCGCACCCCATTCCACCATGCAGGTCAAGCAGGTCAAGCAGGTCGATTCGTCCGTCCTTGTTCGGGGAAACCACACACTCCCAAGCACACCAGTCCAGGCGCAAGCAATTCAATTCCAACCGACTTCACCCGGCTCACTCCGGCTGGCGGCTGGCGAGCCCGTGGCTCCTTTTGCGAGGTCGCCTCTGCATCCCTCAAGTCCAGCTGGGACAACTTCCTGCCGACCAGATCAGGCCAGTCTAGATTTGGAGACATCTTGCAGCACCTCCAATCGCAGGTGGAACCCTCCTCTAGGAAGCCCCCCCGTCTCAGCCTCTCTCTTAGATCCTGCTTGTCTCAGAGTCCGCAAGTTCAGGAGTTAGTCCGTCAGCGGTAGGTTGATGGATGTTGATGGTGGTTCATGGAAGTGAGCCATCAGCAAAGGGAAACTGCTGAACTGAGCCTTGGAGTCCAGCCACAGTTTAGCCAAGAAACATCTCTGATCGAGTGTGGCAACCCACACGGCTCCAACTGGTTCCATCCACAAGGATCAACTATACCAAATAAAACCAAATATAAGCCATTCAACAGAACTCAAATTGAAAACAACAAAATCTGCGTCCTTTTCCCTGAGTTCTCTCTTAGTTCTTTTCTTCGTTCTTGCAGCCGACCATCGAAGAACGCACCATCGACCGGACACCACCGACCGCCGCGGTGTCAACGACGGACGCTCCTGGCGACCTCCATCGCCACGTCCGTCCCAGCACGGCCATCTTGCAAGACCCCCGAGGGCGTGCACAGCAGCAGACCTGCACGTGGCGGCTGCCACGTGGGAAAGAGAAAGGCAGATGAAGGTTCGGAGATGGGAGCTGAAGGTTGGAGTTTGGAAGAATCTATCTCCCAAATGTTAGCAACAGTGGATCCAGGCCACCAGCGAACTTCCAACTTGGATTCTCCACACAGCCTGCACCAATACACTGGGAAAACCCGCACTCTTCCGGCCTTCGAAGCTTGGGTTCTGCGAGAGCTGCAGCGTCTGGAGCACTTCGAACAAACACCTCAGGCAAAGCGAGCGGAGCCAGCGGAGCATAGTGGAGCAGTTGGCCTTTTCAAAAAGGAACTTCTGATTCTTTGAGGTACAGTAACACATCCGAAACGATCTGGGACATGTAACATGTAGGTATAATTCGAGAATCAAACATCCTCGTGAGCACTTCTGCTTGCCCAATGGTGTCTTTGCTGACAAGGATTCGAAATACAAAGGGAACATATGGGAACATATATATGTGGTTCACATGTGTGCTGGTGTCCCACCAGGTGCCACGCACGCGTCAAGGGCATGGCCAACTCATCGATGACCATCACTGTCCCTCGGCAGCTCCTGGTGGCATGCGCAGTGGTGGAGAGAGGACGGATGTGCTCGATTGGGTGCTTCTTTGTTTGATCAACATTCTTTGTGAAATGAAGGGTCCTTGATCAATATTGATCATGTTATCTTGATTTCAGCACAGCTTGATTCTTTGCAATGCAGGTTTGGGGACACCCAAGCTATGGCCAAGCGTTTGGACTATGGCATCCATGGCCATGCGCCATTTCTCAGTTGTGTTTTACCCACCCACTCAATGACCAATACGGGCGACATCTGGTAAACCATCAACACATGACCTACCGATTCAACCGGTTCCCTGCCAAGGACATGGATGGTTGGATTCGCTTGGATGTGCTCTTTGGAGACGCCAAGGACGGTCTCCCATTCAGCCGATCCCGGTGGGTCGTCCTGCTCCGCAGTGCCAGGTAGAAGGAGGACTGACAAACCTCGCCTGGCAGGTGAAACTGTGGGGCCTGGCAGGCCTGGGCAGGCCTGGGCCGAGCCTTCCAGGACCAATGCCTAAGGAAACGCCTGAAGCTCCAGAACGGACCAGCGCTCCCTTGGGGGTGAGGAGCTTCACCAAGACTTGATGTCTTCAACATCAAACTCGCTGGCCTTGATCTTTCTGAAACCAATGGAGGCATGGACAAGAAAAAAACAAAAGATGTGTATGAATCACTCAGCAGCATCCTTCCCAGTGGCCCGGTCAACACACAGCAACCCTCGCCAAAGCTGGTGGACGTCGTCCATGATGGATGTCTTGGTCCCGTTATGTCCCGTTGTGTCAGGGGAGGTAAGCACAACGGAGGAACACGAATCCCGACGGATCCCACGGGTTTCCCTGATCCGTGCACAACGCCGGTGGTGTTCCCCCAAAACCCTTTGACAGCTTCCAAGCGCAAAAGCCGGAAGTTTCAACGGTCCATTATATATATGTAAGGCTGCCAACACGTGCCAACACGTGCTGTTCTTCACTTCAATTCCTGATCCCTGCTCTCTCCAATTCAAGACACCAAGACACCGTGGCCAAGCTCATCATCCACTGCCCACTGGTTATTGCTGAAGGTGCACACCCAGTAGGCTACAGAGTCGGGCTCCAAGGCCACTTGCGCCGCATGCTTCTGAACGGTCTCCGAGAAGTGTCCTGAATGCGCTTGTCGGTGAGGTGTGAGCCGAGTCGAAACAAAAACGACCGCCTGCAAAATTGAGTCTGAGTTTTTAGAGGCTCACTTCCAAGGGTACAAACAACAACTGTAGACTGTAGACATTGTAGTCGCCGTATGTCGCTGCCTAGCTTTCAGTTCGACCTTTGTGCACTTTGCGGAGACGCACAAGCAAGTGGCGGAACGCTGAGCCCCAAAAGTGGCTCACGAACCACTGCACCGGCGTTGGAGTGCTGCCGACCAGCTCCGCGAAGGAGTGCTGCACTGCGAAGGTGAGCGGCTTGACCAAGTTCTCGCACACGTAAGTCCTCGGCAGCAACTCACAGCGTCTTAGCCCTGTCGATGTTCTGTCCATCGATAGCGCCTAACACCTGCCCTCCTGTTGTCCCCCAAAATTGTCTTTTACATGCTCCTCGTCGCCACAACATCATGCCCGTGGAGCAAATCCGATTGGGATACGCATATACATACCTCAGTATACCCTCACCACAAGCTGACAGGTCCCACCATTGTCCTTGTTCCCTTCACATTCTGGGCGCACTGCCCACACTACGCCCCCGACTATGCCGCTCACAGTGGCATGGAGCGATCGCGGATGAACATCTCGAAGAACTCGTGGAAGGTCTTCATCCTCCGTTGAACTCAACACAGCATGCGGTGCTAACAAGACGGTCCAACACCCCATTTTTCGATGCGTTTGGGGAGTTCCGGACACCGCAAAGGCTGGTCACCTTTCTTAACTAGCAGCCGACTTTGCTGTGTCGTCCATGGCCGCTTTGGCAAGAAAGGGTCAGCACTAGGGTCAGTACTTTCCATGAAATGGATCACGATCGGAATGAACGGACCCACATGACCATCTTGAAGTTTCTGTGATTCCCCATCTAGGATCAACTGAAACCAGCTTCAAAACCTGGTTTCAGTAGGGGGAGGGATGTGCATCCAACAAGTTTGTCCCGTCGCAAACATGAATCGAGCCAAGAGCCAACGAGATATTCTAGTTGGAAAACAACTTGTCTCACTCGCAGTTGGTATGGCGCCATACAATATATATACACACTCGATGGCCAAGCCCCAGGGCCTGCCCCAGGACCGGCGTTTCGCCGAACGAACCGCCGAATTCGTCCAAAGGACTTCTCCAGTTTCATGGCGCGCAGGGGACCCCTCTCGCAGGGTTGCAGTTGAGAGTGAAGACGCAGGAACCTGGACTGCAAAAAGCATGCAAAACATAACAGGCATCCAGCCTGCTATAGGCTCGCAAATCCCATCCAATTGCCTTCAATGAAAGGAATTCGTCATGTTCGCCCGCCTTCCGACTCTTGAAGTGAGAGGTGCACCTGGAGGTATTTTACATCCAGGATCCAGTTGTACCCTGTGAGGTTCGGTGGGACTGAGTGCCATGTTCGGGTCCAGTCGTACCGAACCTGAGGAGGTTCGGTACGACTGGATCCCTAGGGATCAAACATATAGCTCGCCGTTTTGGCCCTGGTCTACCTCCACATGGCTGGTGGCACCAGGAGACTGACCGGTTGACCTATCGCACGAAGCTCGAGTTGCATGGTGTACCAGTATTGACCCATCCCCATATATACCTCCAAACCTGCAACTAGAAACTGGCAGAGTGGACAGGTGGGAGGGGGAGAGCAAGTTGTATTAGGATGATCATCTCGGCATTCCTTTTTCACCAAGATTATCCCTTATAGATATAGCTACCATTGGCAGTTTTGCTGAACGATCATGACCTTGGGAGTGCCCAGTGGCCCACCTTGTCTGGGAAAAAGACATGCTAAGAACAAGGCTCTCAAAGTGAAGTATTGAACACTGCAAAGGGCAGGAATGCGATAGGTCCCATATCTTCTCGTCCGTCATCGTGTTTCTCCACCAGCCCATTGCAAGGAAAGAGAAAACAACTCGTCGACAAGCTTCGAGTACACGGGGGAACCTTGCCAAATTTTTGAGTTCAGCCCAGAAATCATGAACCCCAAACCGACGGGCAAATCAAACCGCAAGCTGCACCTTCAGCCAGAGAGACAAACATGCTGAACAATAACTCATGATCATGTGTTTGATAAGGCCAGCAAAGGTTCAGAATTGACATGAACAAAACCTTCTGCTATTCTGAACCTTGGCTGGCCTTATCGCTACCATTTTGCAGGAGTAGGCTGACCTTTCCGCCACATACGCCTTGAAGAGTGCGCCTTCCCCCCGAGATGTGTCACACAACGACCAACGACGACTGTTCAGTGGCTCCCAGACCCCACAATTGAACTGTTTTTTTGACCAAACACTCGTATGTGGTTGGTATTGTCTAGTGGTTGTTAGATACACAATACCATGCAATACCAACCTGCACTCCCTAAAACACACAATACCACCCACACTAGATACAATAGGAGGCCCCACTAAACACCCGCACCAAACCACCAGTCTCGCTCTCCGTCTCAGCATGTCTCAGCCACTGCTGTCGCTTCAGCGCCACTGGCGTCCGCTGCTTCTGCCCCGCGGAGACCAGAATCGTGGAGAGCAAGAAGGCGGAGGAGAGGCTGAGGAGGATGGAGAGCTTGGTGACTCCGAAGCCCACCTGAACTGCGGAACGGAGGATTGGAGGAAGGATTGGAGCGTGGAATGAGTGAGTCGTGCGGTTAGGCCGTGGGGCGTGGGGCGTGGGGCCAGGTTTGAGAAACAGTCCTTCGATTCCGGGGATGGCTTTATGAACCAATAGATCGGCATCCTTCGGCCTGAGCCAAGCACCCGATCCGCCTATGTCCTTACCCCGAAGATTTCCCAGGCATGCCCGGCAGTTTAAGGTGGACGATACCCGGTTTCACATGATTTTACGTATTAAACTCCTGCCCAGGTGATACAAATCATGGTGCATTGTCCGGTGTTTCTGAAACCGTGCTTTCTTTTGTCGTAAGCCACGGCAATGGCGCTTGCCAAAAATAGCAGCACCCAGGCCAGCAAAGGTGTATGTAGAAAGCCTCAGCTTGGGCGACCAAGGTGAGCCACCTGCGAGGTGCCTTTCAAGCTTCAGATCTGCACCCTCACCCTCGAATTCTAGCCAACTGCAGAATTGGATAAACGGTGATGAACCCAACTGGCATATAAGGCTATTTTGGTGTGATCTTGCTGTGACTGTGAACTAGCGCCATAGTCAGTCCCATTTCGCCTGACTTGCACTCCCCCTTTACTCCAAATCGGCCAGCGAGGAGCGGATCTGCCAAAGGGTCTGTGGGAAGTGCAGCCGCAGTTGGCCCATGGAACTGGCCCAATGTTCCACCTTGCCCTCTAAGTGTATCAGCACCTGAGTTAGACTCTCTGTTGCAAACCTGTTTTTTGTCCGTAGGAGGGGATCCCCTGGCGGCCGAAGTGCTGTCCACGGTGTGCATCACCGGTGGTTTTTACACGTAGATCTTTTAGATCAACATGTACCTCTACTGTCTCTGCTATGGTGGACGAAGTTTGAACACTTGTTGGAGACTCAGGAGTCAGGAGAAGTGATCCCCTACACAGTGATTGAGCGCCAAGGCGCCCACGCCGCGCCCACGCCGCGCCTACGTCCGGCCAAGGTACCAATTGTTCCTTGCCCAGGACCTTCACCTGAAAACAACATAACATTTGGATCTTTTCACTGTGTTGGGCTCCACATGTTGTGTCAAGAACTCCGGGTGAACTCTGTTCTGAGACAAATGCAATTTATACGGACCTGGATGGAGCCATCCTTGACGAGGAGGTTCCACACAGGGGCTAGTGGATCAGCATCCAACATCAAAAAGGAGAGCGATATTGTAGTGAATTTACTCCAACCATGCAGAACAAACATATCATGGTCAGAACTACAACCAAACCGTACTTACTATAAGGATATCTTCAGCTGGCTTCGCAATGTTGCCGGACCTTTGAGGACTAACGCTGGCACCCTGAAGAGATCTAAAGAGACCGGACACATTGGAGGAGTGTGCCGAATTGCGGTGGCTGGCGGAGGAGTGTGCCAAATGATTGGTCATGTGTTGCCACCATCTTATGCCCTTGGAGGCCTCGTGCAGGTCAATTTCTTGCAATCACCTGAAGTCGAACACCCACAAGCTTGAGCCACGTACCCAATGCCAAATTTCGGCCTCTTGTTCCTACGATCCACGTCGCCCACTTCAACATGAGAGAAACATGATTGGCACCGCTGTTCTTTCTCTCTCGCCTACGGTTGCAAAAACCCTTAACAGACTACCAGGAGTCACAAGACGGGGTGGTGTTTAGTCCCTAAGTGAGTGGATGTTCTGGGCACCCCTACCCTTCATTAAGCACCCCTTTGTTGTGACTGCTGGTATATCATTAATCCATATGCCCGTCATGAGATCTCTGTTCTTCACATCCTTTGTCGCAATTCGGCTTTAACGCTCGGCATGTCCCCAGTCATACTGGGTCTGACTCCCCGCAGGTGGCCAACACGGTCGGGGGGATCTGCACCCACCAGTTTTTGAAAAAGAGATGTATAAACTATCATGCTACAATAAATGTTCTGTTTTCAATTCCCTTGGTTTTCCACTCCATTTGTTTGGAGAGGTTTTGATCTCTGAGCCGCGCATCCGACCATTTGCTTCGAAAGACTCAGCCCAAATTATGACGATTGCCCCCCACTCTATGCATTCCTTTTGGATCCATCCAGCCACCCTCATTCCGCTTTCTTCGCCCTCCGAACTCCTCCGTCCCGCCTTCCACCAAGTCACTTGGAACTCTGCCAGGTCCAAGCCGCGGACGCCGGTGCCCTGCAGCTCGACGCGCGGGACATCGACGCGCCCTCCACGCGACGTCCGCAGAAAGTGCCGTCCTCAGAATTCGTGGCGCGGATGAGGTGAAAGTGGGCCGTGAACCTCGTGGAGGGAACTTATAACACTTTATAACGCCTAAGTTCGTGGGGGTCCTCTCGCCAAACTTGAGAGGGCTTTGGCCCCAACAAGTTCTTTTGTGGATGCGTCGCTCTAGCTTGTAGTTTTTTTCTGTTTTTCACCAAACAGTGTGGGGTTCTTACGGGAAGTTTATAAAGGGCCCGTGTCTAATCGAGGTGTCGCGCGGGCGTTTGCAGCTAGTTCGCTGTGCCCTCACGCCTCTCGAGGTGTCGCTGAACGCAGGCTTGCGGGTTCCGGTTGGCTGGAGAGGGTGCTTGTCGCGACTGCACGCGCGCATTTTCGGACATGGGTGGTCGCTTCTCGTGGCAGTCGCAAGGGACACCTCGTCATTTGGTGGTCCAAAGTCGACTTTTCGTGACAGGTGGGCAAGGGATCGGAGCGGTATTGTACTTCGAACTGCAGATTTCGTGGCAGGCGAAGCACTTAATGCTCTCAGATTCTCACTCACTCACTC